GCTGAGTCTTTTTTCTTAGAGTTCTCAATATAGTTTACTGCACCAGTTTTGTGTTTTTTGGCGTATTTATTTTAGCCATTTTTTGAAAAAAGTGATCAGCAGAAAGAGTTGTTATTGAAAATCGAGCAATTTAAATTTACATTCTAAATTCATATTATTATCTTATTGTAGTCATTTAGTTTAACAGCAATATAACCTTTGAAAGTAAATAAGTGATTTTAAAGAATTGTAAAACAATACAAATACAACATGAGAGGTTAAATTTGGTTTATTATTTTTACGTGCTCTAAATCTACACGATATTCAGTGCAATTGGAAGTCAATTTTTTAAATACATTAATATTCATACCCACCCTTTTTGATAATATATCTTTAGCAAATATAATGATTTAACATTATCCTTGTTAGCAAAATTTTACAACCATTTATTTATATGATAAAATTTTGTTTCTTATAATAATAAGCACCAAGTATCCAGCAGTAGCGCAATCATCACTTTGTCTTTAATAGTTTTTGATCTTTTCTTTTTTAACATTCTAACATTCTTCATAACATTTTCCAACAAAATATTTAGCCAAAGACAGCATACAGCATCTTAAAAAAAAATGAAAAACTATTTGCTTTGTTAATGTCAGTTATAACTCTAAAAAAACTAACATAATCGGACTTTTCTTTAAAAGTAATTATCAATACGCATATTTGTTTGAACAGTTATTAATCTAGTTATGTGCATACATATGGCACAAAGATAGTAAATGACTTAGCTATTTGATCAAAATTCAAATGACCCCAAGTCATAAAATAAAGACTAGATCATTTGGGTCATTAAGATCACTTCGGTCAGGTCATTTGCATATAGAATAAATTTATTGGCCGAATTGCCCTATGTATAAAATGTTATCGAACACTTACTTTCCTAATCAATAATCGTAGCTATATTAATACTAACACTAAGCCAACTACGTAATATTTATGCCTTAAGTCCAGAATATTCTGGAATTTGTAAACGAATCAACTTTTTTCACATTAAACATTTATACAAAAAAACTAATAAATTTGTTAAAATGCGAAAATGAAATAATCAAAAGATGCATGAAAATTTCAGAATCAATAAACTTTACTTAAGGCATAAATATTAATTGACTTAGTAAAATTTTAACTTTAATTAATAATAGTTGACGAAACTATGTGATGCTAATTGTCATATAATAAAACTTAATAAATATTAGATAAAATTTTAGGGTTTTATATTTTATACCATGTGGCAATTAGCATCACATGGTTCGTCAATCATCATTAACTTTAATATATAGTTATTATTTTTATAAAAATTAATTTGTGTTATTATTGGTTAAAAAATATTAGAATATTAATTAACATATATTAAATGACCCTCTAAGTCATTTCAGTTTTGAAATGACCTAATGACTAGTCATTTGTCATTTGGGTCATTTGGGTCATTTCAGGTCATTTACCATCCCTGGTGTTACAGCCTAAACCCTTTACCGAAGTCCGAAACGTTTCGGCTTTTGAGTTTCAGTTTCGCCCCAAATCTGAAACAGGGCGAAACTAGGCGAAACTTGATCAAAATTATTATGTAACACAGACTTCGATGCAATGATTTTTTAAAAGTCACGTGACCTCTGCATTTAAAATCGACCAATGTAATTTCTAAAAATCCCATTGGTCAATTTTAGGTGCGGCAGTCACGTGACTTTTGGAAATTCCATTGGTCAATTTTATGTATAGTAGTCACGTGACTTTTAGAAATTCCATTGGTCAAATTTACAGAAATTCTACAAACAGAGCTTAGGAACAGAAATGGACAGAACAAACTCATATGATATTATTAAAATTCCTCTTACCCTAATCAATAACTAACTATTCACGTGATTTGTTTTGTCCCTAAGCTCTGCAGAGCAGTGTTGGCATATGACCTATTATGACCGTTATGACCTTTATGACCATTATAGGTCATAAGGTCATAAAAATATGGGATATGAATTATGACCTAGGTCATAATCCTATCCAATAGAAATTGCGAATAATTAGCCAAAGAAGCTATACAATAAATTAATAAATTTCAATACTATTTAATGCAAATTTATTTTATATAGGGACTCATGCAAGTATTATACAGAATTTCATGAAACCATGCATAATTCAAGTTGGAATTAATAATATCATGCACGATCTTTATATGTGTGCATTATGTATGAAATATATATTTAAAAAATCAGACATAATACAAAAAATGTGGATCTTTAAAAATTTATTTCATTGCTTGTTATTGCTTTAACTTGCAAATTAGTAAATCGAACCATATAAAATCATTCCATTTAATAAAAATATGCTACCCCATAAATAATATTTATAATATATATTTAATTGATAATAATTGAATAAATTTTATAAGTATATATACATCAATAATTGAATAAATTTGTATAAAATTGTTAATAAATGCATTACATTCATCTTTTCTAACACCTTTACTAGACCTTTCATTTCAACAATAAATGTTCTGTTATTTGATTCTGATTCCACTAATGCTTTTAATTTTAACAATTAATAAGTACTTTACCTTGCCTAATTCCACTAGCAACTAATTAATAGATACTTTATATTCATTTTTTTTGACTTCGATTCCTTTTTCATAACATACACCAACCAAATTTGTTCCTATAGCATTACTCATTACAGCAAGTTTTTGATAGTAATTGAATGTCTTATGTTCATTTTTTTTAGCACTGATTCCATATTTATTTGCACTGCTTATGTTACTAGATAATTCGAAAATTAATAATTTTTTTTTGACCTAATTCCTAAATGTATTTAATTTTTCATTAGTGGTTCTTGTTATTTAATACACTTATATTCTCAACTCTAACTCCGTTAGCATTCTGAATTTTTGTAAATTAATGAATGCCTTATGCTTATCATTTCAACTTCAACTCCAGCATATTATTGAATGTCTAATGTTCCTTTTTTTTTAACATAAATATTTTGTTAATTAAAAGTAAATTCTGAATCGAAATATAGTGGCATTTCTAAAGAAGAAACAAAAAATAAATCTAAAGACCATTTGGCTGTTTCATTATTAGCAGGATGTTTTTCTCGTCCTCCTAAACTAAAATCTGCATCCCATTCACTTGACAATAAAATTTTATCGTCTTTGTTTTCAAATTGGTTTTCATGATCTCCAAGCTCAATCCATTCGTTAACTAGGTTTTTCCATCTTTGTTCCTCTTCTGCAACTGATTCTTTATTTTTTTCAAGACTTTGGTTTGTCCAATTTGATCTGGTAGCTTTATCTTTCCCAACAACACCATCGTCACTCACTTGATAATCCAAATCAGTGATGACTAATTCTTCAACACCTTCATCACCTTCATCTGATAATATAGGTGCTGTGACATGTAGTCTGCGAATTTGATTATCATATTTTTTTGCATTCTTTACTTTACAAGACCAAAGGATATCACCATGAATTTGGCTCATTGCCAAGACTTTACTTTGCTATAATATTGCATAAAAATATCAATCAAGACTAGTTAATTATATAAAAATAAATTGATGATAAACAAACCTATAATCGGGCTTTGTGATTAGTATGTAATAATCCTATGGAAGACCACAAACGTTCTACAGATGCAGAATTAATGCAAATTTCGTGAATGCGGATTGCTGCTCATGCTAATTCTGGACCTACTCCTTTGGTTGATTCCCAAAAATCTGCCAAATTTCTCTTAAATTGTTTAAATAATTCTATATCATATGAATTAATTTCCCATTTGTATTTTATTAATTCAGCTAAGATGGATACAGGTTTACAATTAAACCATGTCTCATAATAATATTTAAGCTATTGCCTGATATGTGTCCAGAATAGATTAGCAACTATGCTATTAAATTTGGTAAGTTTGTATTCAGGATGTAGTGCAAAAGAAAGAATTATTAAAGGTTGCTTCCACTCATTCCAACATGATTCGATACATGCTCTCATATTTGTTTTGAACTCAAAATCATCATGACATTCAAATATTTTCATCATATATTCAAAACAATGAAGAACTTCATATAATCGAGCTGTGTCTTTTTGTAATTTATTCAAAAAGCTACAAAGAGGATATAAAAGTTCTTAAAGATTGGCTAAGCTTATCCAAAACTGAGTATCATTTATAATATCAGCAATGTCATCAGGAAGTTTTCGGGTACCATTACACAAGGTTGTTCGATTATTAGCTGGCTCAGACAGGATACCATCTGTTCATATTACATTGCTATGATGGTTATTAAACTTGGAGGAGAGAAACTAGTAAAAAAGAATAATCAGGTTGAATTAAAATACTGATTTATAATTATTTGCAAAACAAATTGTATTTTATACTTTAAGTGCGGATTTTGATTTGGAAATAGAATGAAAACAAAAATAGTACGAGTTCCATCTTGTATCTCTGGGCACAATTAATGCAATACATTTGTTATAAATACGCATTTGTTCATCTCTAAGATTGTCTGTAAAAAAAGGTGACTTGTGGAAAAAACACACGATTCTTATTGCTTCCTTGGATGTTCTTTAATATTGACTCGATTCTTTAAAAACCTCTCCAAATATTAAATTCATTTGGTGAGCCATACATGGCAAAAAAACCTTCGAAGAATACTTTCTTCATAATAGCCGGCTACAAAAGTAAAATAATAATAAATAAAATGATGCTTAAAAAAAAAAACAATAACAATAATTATTTATCACATGGCTGCATATTTACCAGTAGAATCTGAAACAAATGCTTTGATAATTATTCGTTTCTCTTCAGTTTCAATCATTAATTGTTCAATGTGATTGATTACATTTTGAGTTTGTGATCTTTCAGAGCTAATATCATGTGCACCCCATATTAAAGGTTGTCCATTTGTAGTTATAAAAACAACACCCTAAATATGTTCTTGTTTTATATTTGTCCAGGTGGCAAATGTTGCAGTTATCCTATTTGCATCATTCTGTGCAGTTTTAATTATATTTTCTTGTAATAATTGTGCACTTTTCATTAATACTTTGCCACCTATAACTTTGCACTTGGGCAATTTAAGTCCTGGTACTAAAAACTCAAAAACTGCAATAGTATCTTCATTCTTAACAAATGTAAAAGGTAATGCATTAAAAACAATCATTCTTAAAAGTAATTGTTCAAACCGTGATTGATCATTAACTGAAAAAGGTCTACAAAGAAAATTTGAAATTGCAGACTGTCGACTATTGATAGATGAGTGGCTTGAAACAGTTGAAATGACCAAATCAGCATGTAAATTTATAAACTTATTAGTTTCAGATTCCTTATTTACATTGAATGCCGTAATATAAATATAGATAACACTATTCAAACCTAGATCATAACTTCATGTATTACATACCATCAGTGTCTTTGTCTTTTTTTCGTCTTTTTTTCTTTTTATTTTCCGGAACTGGTAAAGCTAAAATTTTTTGCACTTCCTTTTCAGTATTAGCTTCATAAAAGGCTTCGCACTTCGATAGATGACTGCAGCATAAACATGCCCTGTTAACTATGCAACATTCTGATTTTAATTGAGCTATTCCTAATCCATCATATTTTCTTATATACCAGTTACATACAGTGAGAACATTTGTAGGATTATTTGGGTTTTTGATTAGAGTAAAAGAACTTCTAAAATTATGAGAAGGAGGAGGCATAGTAATGAATTTAAAAAAAACAATTTTTCATGAATTTCTTATCATGGGCTAACAAACGTTCTATTTGCTTTATTAATCATACAAATTATTATCGATCGTTATACAAAAAAAAAGTATAAAACTGGAATTGACTAAAGTTTTGATATAGAGAAGTCGAGCTCAAAACCAGTTTAGAATTCTTTTGATATCTTAATACAGCAACTTTTAAAAAACTTGATTAATAAACCCGATTGTGTTTTATCATTATCATTATTGCCATTTGATCCTAGATATTAAAGGAAGAATTAAAAATTTGTCTTAAAGTTGTAGACCAATACAGTATATAAGCATTGGTAATATTTAAAAATGATTAACTAAAGGCTTACAAACAAAATCCAAATTAAATCAACCAGAACTAACATTGTAAAATGTTACTTTGTACCGCAACAACAAAGTACAGAGATTTTATTCGCAAATAATTAGCTAAACCAAGTCTAGCTATACTTTAATATAGTTTGAAAACATGGTCGTAGATAATAATTCAACTTCTTGTATTGCGATTCTGTTACACATGTGTGCAATTTTAATTGGTTAAATGTTATGACTAGGTTATGACCTATTAATTTAGTCATATGACCTGGGTCATAATAGTCATATGACCACTGGTCATAACGTTATGACCTTATGACTTTATGACCTATGGTCATATGACCATATGACCAAGGTCATATCAACATTTTGTTATGACTTATGTCATATTCCATTACTGCCTATATGGAACAACCGCCGTTTTATTATCATATAATAAGTAACTTGTATCAAAATTTTATTTTCCGTTTATAAATGTAAAAAATGATATATTTTTCTCGTACGTACTGTTATATCTTGTTTCTTGTGTTCCCGACTACGGATAGAATCACGTGTACGGCACGTCACGAACGCCAAGAACGCTTGAGTTCTAATACCGTCTTCCCATTTTATATTTTATAGCGTATTACATATACTATATCGTGTATAATGGAATAGATATTGCTATAATTAATAGATGTAATATTAAAAACTTGTGTTCAGATAAATTGTATAAGGCGGTCCCTTGGGAATCGTCGTTCTCCATTCAATACAATATAATAAAAGAGTAATCGTGTCTTCATACACGAATAACTCAACTAAACCACACCTAATCAATACGACTACTTGTATCTTCATATACATTTAGCTGTTTGTCTCTTTCGTAATCGCAAATCACTGTAAAACCTTTCATTATTGTTAGTCTTTATTCTCGTATAGAGGACGGCAAAAAACATTTGTTTATTATCGTCCCGAGTTATACCGAACTCATTTAAGAGGTAGTTTGAGTGTAACAGTACGTATACCGTAATTTTAACCAATTAACAAGATGGACAATAAATAATACGAATCTAGTGGTCATACTACGTTCCCGGTTTAAGCGCACAGATACTATTTATGTAACAACACCAATCGTCAATATAATTTTTTGAAATTCATTACGATAAAAACTTAAAAATATTCATTTACAGATTTTCGCTTAAACATACTGTATAACAATAAATTTTTTTTGAAATAAAACAAAGAGAGCGTAAAACAACAGAAAAAAGAGTTTTTCTGATTTTATATATATTTGATTACAAAGGTTGGAACCGTTTAACTATTTAAAATCTGTTCCGTAATTTCGAGCCGAATTATGTTAGTTATGGGATAGAATTATTTTAATGCTGGCTGAATTAAACGGTTTAACGATTAGAAAAATTTTAGCCATATTTGATTGGTTTATTTATTTATTACTAGTACACATCATTTATCTTTTTTAATTTAATATATGGGGTTGAGTAAATAGAAACTAAGCAAATATTTTTTATTAAGTTGTTTTTAAAACTTTAAACAAGAATAACTTAACAAACACTTAATTAAATTGATTAAAAAATTCTTTTAAATTAATTCTACAAGGTTATAAAAAATTTTATTAAATCTGATAAGTTCTTGTTAAATTACTCTTGCTCAAAATTGCAAAAAAAAATTATTATAAAACATTTGCTTGATTTCTATCGACACACCCCATATAGTCTCTAGTTCAATGTACCAATTCTTCGCAATAAAGATGTATGTATGCTACTTCCGTATTAGCAGTTGTTAAGATATCTAAACAAAAACAAAAATACTCAACGACTCTATCAAGAATATGAAATCAAAATAAAATAACTTGCCGATTACGCAAATACATCTCCTACATAGATTTGTGATTATATGGGAGTGCGACTGTATATGATTAGACATTAGTATCACATAAAAGAAATCAAGACTTAGATAATCAATTAAGACCATAAATTAATTATATAAAAGATTTTAAAGTTATAAGCATACGTAGTCCCTTAGATGTGTAATTATTTTTGTCACCGCTGTATTATTCCCCTTATAGGTGCAGAAATATTTATGTCCCATTTCTGCATTGTAAAGACATGTCGATGTCGTGCTTGACGTTAGAATCTGCCTGAGTTGTAACTTCAAGCATTTAAACTTGCTCTAATTTCGGTCAGTGCAACTTCAAGCAGACGCCAATTTCAAGGGAAAGCCTAATTTCTCCTATGACTGATTGGACAAAAAAACTTTTTGCTATCAAGATCCGGTGTAACATAAAAATGAAATTTTACATCCCTAAATGAAACTGCCTTAATAAAATATATTTCTTGCAAATTTTAATAGTATTTATATTTTTTTTGAATTAATACCACAATTAACAATATTTTAATATAGTATTTACCGTATTTTTGTTTTTCTTCAGTTATGATTTCAGATCAGAATTTGTAATCAATTTCTTCCAATCAAAAACAGTACTTCTAAGCGTCCGATAGGAACTAGGCTAAGCGTCCGATAGGGACTAGGGGAGAAAATTAGTAAATCCAATTTCAAGCATGACATCAACGCGTCTTACAATGGAATATAATCTAGTGACGCAAATACTTCTGCACCTATATTCCACCTGTGATGTCCTTCGGACAATTATCTCTGTATCCTGATGATATATCTACTACAATACGTTATCTACCGTTAATGCACATTATGTTTTATGCTGTATAAGTAACGATTACAGTAGACATTGTATTTTTTCCTAACCAACTTTAATCTATAATTCAAACAAGACTGAAAGTAGTATTAGGAATGATAAAAAATATTTTCGTCGTTTTAAAGGCTTAAACATATCCAGATTATAAATGGCCACTTGCCATAGAAATTATCGACTATGGTATCAATTAGGAGTAATAGGTGAAGTAGGAATAGTAAAACAAAACTGTCACTTGTCATACAATGTAATTCATTCAATAGGAAAGTAGTAAATTAAATAGCCAAATTTCTCATTCGATACAATGTTAATATCTATACAATCGACCTGGATGTAACGAACTTTTTTAAAAAAAATTTATTAGAGTTCGGTATAAAAATATACAGTAAGAAGTTTTCTTTTACAATAAGAACTATCAGTTAGTCACAGAATTGGCTGCATTTGAAACCATAATATTGTTAATAATTGAATAATTTAATATAAAAATCATTTTTTAAAAAAACCAATTGCTCTAACTCTTTATTTCTTACGATCATTTCCTTCACAACACATTCCTTTGGTTAGTCTTATTTCACTCATCGCAATTTCCGGTTAGCCTTAAATACAGCCCCATCTTCCCACAAACGCTTAGCAATAATTGCTAAATTTTTTGTGTCATCAATTCCTGAATGTTCATGCCCCTCAAAGTTCAAACCATAATGTGCCAACATGTTGGGAATATTGCGCGGCCTACAATTATAAAATTTTGCAAACAAAGTTCTGATGTCTACCCATGGAAGGGAAAAATATCTTGGTCGAGATATTTTTGACATTTTACATTGTTTTGTGATGAAATCACGAATATCCCAAGGTCCTTAAATATATATATATAATCATACACAAGATTAGGTCGAGTCGTTATTAATATATGACAAAGTATAATCTTACCATCAGTTAAGAATGAACAACTTTCCTTATAAAAGAGCTAATGAATTTTACATATATATAAATAAGTTGAATTTGGTAATTATTTATTTACAATACAAATAAAACTTGATAAAAATGAAGAGTAAATACTTGATGACTATGTAAGAATTCTTGAAATTTGCATAGCACTTCAGGAAATGATGGACTAATATCTATTGTTGACTATAAATAAAAAACAAAAAAAAGGATAGAAATAATAACGATAAACTAGAATTGACGAAGAAAAAGAAAATCGCATACTTGTGGTATTCCAGTCAACTCTATACAGAACTTTGATAATATTGGATTATTACTTGGCTTGACATAAGAATGAAATACATCAACCTTAAATTAAGAAATAAATAAATAGAAGAACATATGAACTAACGCCTTGTATATTCAAAGAAATTACGAAATTATACTCACTACATCAAATGTTTTACTTTCAATCAATAAAACGGGAAATTCTATGATTTCATTCTTGTAATCAAAACCACCACCTTGTTCACATGTAGCTTCAACATCAAGGCACAAGTAATATTGGAATGGTTGTGTTCTGCTCAAATTGCACGGTTGAGATAATTTGAATTTATGTAGTAAAATGAGTATAGATAATAGTCTAATATTTGATATCATGAATAATGAAAATTTTAAAGACATACAAATTTTCTGCACCTGTGGATACTACCGTGTTCGCCATAAATAACGGGAATCGAAATCGGGCACAAACCTTATATAACAAAAACTTGCATTTTATCCCGATACCGAAATTGTTACACAAATTATTTATGTGCAACAATGTAAAACTTCGTGATTTTGCTATTATTATACTATCGCTATATATATTTAACTATACGAAATATTTATAACCATTTATTCTTTAAAGTAAATTATATTGCATATATATATATTAGAATATTTTGGTTCGCAATATATTTTTTATTATACATCGGGAAAATTTGAAGCCTGATTACTAATAGTAATCGATTATGAACGATTT